ACATATCCGGCTCAGCTTCTAAGCAGCTGTGCAGAAGCAGCCGTTGCGTCGATGATGCCACCAACCCCACCGGTTCCAGTTACAGCCAAAGACTCGCCAAGCAAGAGAACAAGCGTCAGCGGCAGTAACTTATCTAAAAAACAGACGCACAAATCGCCCCAGCTTCCGCAAGGAAAATCGCCAGGAAAGTCGCCCAGGCAGTCTCTGCAGCCACCAACGCCTCCAGCACCAGTTCCCGTGGTGGCATTGCCGCCGACAAAATACGACCCCCAGACGCACACATTACAAGGCAAGCCGCGCCAACGTGCTCCGCGTGGAAGCGGTGGCTCCGGAGCACCGGGCAGGGGCAGGGGTCGTGGAAGGGGTAGAGGACGTGGAGGAGGCGCTACAAGTGGGATGGCTATGGTACTGCCACCGCCAATGTCAGATTACGGGAGCAATACTCATATAGTCAATAACTTGGTCGGAACTCCCTTTGAGTTCAACAACGAGTTTGACGACATAGCAGGACCAGGTGTGGAGAATCTGCAATCGCTAAGAGATCGGCGAAGAAGTTTTGAGCTTCGAACCCCACGAGCTCAGAACAAGCCAGCCACAACGCCAACAACTTCAACAACCACCAATCCTCTTCTCCATCCAGTGCTCCCAGGACCTGTGGACATGAGAACGTACAATCTTGGATTTGAGGCGCCGCACAGTACAGCATCTCAAGAGGCCTACCAGAATAATCTTCTGGGTGCGTTTGACTCGGGAACTGCTGATCAGACGCTCAGCGAGTTCAACGAGGAGGACGAACGCCAGTTCCAGTCGGCACTGCGAGCAACTGGCACTGGAACCTCGCCCAGCAAGCAGCATTCAGCAGCAACGACACTAGTTGCACCTCCAGCTGCGCCCAACCCGCAGCCTGCAGCAAATCTTCTTTTACATTGCACAGAAGCGAACCAAATGGCACCCAATGCGGCTGCCACAGGTGCTGCAACGCATTTGGTCGAGGGCTCGCTGGTTGAAGCTTCTCTAGAGGCCACTTCAGAGGAGGTATCGATTGACTCAGACAGCACGATACCACACTCTAAGACCTCGATTTCAGATGCCCGAACTCATATTAAACTTAAGATCAAGAGTCCGCTGGCCTATCCAGAACACTATAACGCCATGACGAACAGCAGCAGTCTGACTCTCACAAGTACCCTGGTGCAGTCGTCTAATGTAGTGCAAACCACCGTGTCCACTTCGACGGTAGTCAGTGCATCATCAGCCGTTAGCGGCAACTCGCGCCGCATGCGAAAGAAGGAACTTCTTAGTCTTTATGTGGTACAGAAAGATAACCACAATGACGATAGCTCATGCGGACTGCCCGCCGCATCCGACAGCTTGCCTCTCGAGAATCTGCGGAAGTCGGAGGAAGAAGACGAACTTTCAGGCGGCAACGGTACGAAAAGGTTCAAGAAGAACCCCAGCAGCAGGGAATTGCGTGCTCTTGATGCGAACTTGGCCCTTGTGGAGGAACAGATGCTTTCCGGCGGTGCGGGAGCGTGTGCAGGAGTAGCATCGGGTGACGGCAGACGGCGTAGCGCTTGCAGCTCAGGTAGCAATAACGACAACAACGGGAAGACAGGTGCAGCTAGTAGTGCAGGCAAGCGGCGAGGACGCAGTAAGACTCTCGAAAGCAGTGAGGATGACCACCAGGCCCCCAAACTGAAGATCAAAATCAGGGGGTTGGCGGCCAACGAGGCACCTTCAGGGGTTTCAAGCGTCGACGAGGGCCAAAACTACAGTTATGAGATGACCCGAAGGGCTTGTCCACCTAAGAAGCGTTTGACAAGCAATTATAGCACTCTTACACTAGAGGAGATCAAGAGGGACTCGATGAATTACCGTAAAAAAGTCATGCAGGACTTTGACAAGGGCGAGGACAGCAACAAGAGAGTTGTTGTCCAAGATGGCGAGTCGCTCATAATGCCCCAGCCGCCCACAAAACGACCCAAGTCTTCCAAACCCAAAAAGGAGAAGAAGGAGAAGAAACGCCAAAAACAGCAACAGCTTATCTTAAGCAGCAGTATGACCACTACGTTAATCGAGAACACGGCCAGTGCGTCGCCAGGAGATAAGCCTAAGCTGATCCTCCGTTTTGGCAAACGAAAGGCGGAGACCACGACAAAGACCGTCAGTCTGGAGCAGCCTCCTACATTGGAGGCGCCAGCACCCCTGCGCTTTAAAATAGCCAGGAACTCATCTGGCGGCGGCTATAGAATCGGCACGAAGGCGGACAAAAAGGATGAGCCTACGGCAGACAACACGTCTCCGATAATGGAGCTGCCACTTATATCACCCCTCAGAGAAGCGTCACCACAAAGCAGGCTACTAAACAGCTTTACACCGCACTCCCAGAATGCTAATACGTCGCCAGCCCTGCTTGGCAAGGACACGGGTACCCCATCCCCGCCCTGCTTGGTAATAGACTCCAGCAAAAGTGCAGATGTGCACGACTCCACCTCCCTGCCCGAGAGCGGTGTGGCTACGATGGGAGTGCAGTCGTCCCTTGTGGGTGCCACCACCCCTTTGTGCGTCAACGTGGGAAACTACGAGAATAGCAACAACTCATTGCCCTCAGCCAGTGGAACCGGATCGGCATCCAGCAACTCCTGCAATAGCAACTCGAACAACAACAACGGCAGTGGAGGAGGACGCGCCAGCGGGGAAGGCGGTTTACTTCCATTGAAAAAAGACTGTGAGGTTAGATGATAATCGGAGAACGCGAGAACGTCGCATGTAAGCGTATCCTGTAACTTCGTTCATTCAAGCTTTCGATAATCCCCTCCCTTTGTGATTTGATTCCTTGCCCTCGCCCCTATTAGAGTGTTAGCTTTTGTAGTAAATGAGCGAACTGCAGGTCCTTAATCGAACTTGAAATTGTACAGTTAGTTTGTAAGCCCCTTAACCATTCTTCTCTCTGTCTGTAACTGGTTTGTTGTAATCGCATCAGCGTAAAGAAGATATTATCTCTACACACCTATAAAATATTAATATGCATATAGCACATTATGCGAGAAACAAAAAATATAAATTGTACATTTTTAGAAGCAGATTGTACATTTAAGGCTTTGTAAAATACTGTATTAAAGATATAAAAGAAACAAAATAGCAGACACAGTCGTCTAGCCTAAAAAATCCAAAAATGCTCTCGGTTTAGGTTTATAAAGTTTCCATTCACCTATAAATCCTTCCACGCCTCCTACTCACTGAACATGATCGATAAACCCAAGCATATATTATAAACACTATTTATTAATAATTATTTAATAAAATGTGTAAAATAATCGTAAAATATTAGCAAAAAGTGTTAAATGCGTGCAAAAAGTAACAACAATTTCAACAATTGTAGCTATAGTCATTAATTGTAGTTCTTAGCGAAAATCAAAGTCGGTTGACCCTGGCCGCAATCTAAGTGCATATAATAGTCCCTGTTCCCAAACATGTACGTAGAGGAGAAAACAAAAATTTAACAACAAAATTCCCTATCATTTTAGAAAGGGAATTGTTTGTATTTTAGCGTGTAAGAATGCAACGTATCGAAAAACTCCAGAGGAAAGATAATGTTTGTTTTGCGTTATATGGTGTTAAAGCAATAGTAACGTAGGCAAAAGTACACTGGTTTTCTATAAGCAAAGGTGCCTGCAGCCTTGAGCCAAGTCACATACACAAAACATGCCGAAGGAAAAAGCCATCTAAAACAGTACCGTTTGGTAGGTGTGATTGCATTCCAGATTCCGATTGCGGAACGATACACAACGCCCCGGTCCACCTAGACTTTCTGTTGCTCTTTTGTCGCCAATAGTTAAAGAAGTTACTTCCCATTTACTTTTCAATTTGCATCGGGCTTATCTCGATTAAAGGGGCAAAACAAAATTTAAAAAAAAATCATTTAAGGAACCCAGGCAACAAATATTTATTCTAAAATAAAACCCGCGAAAAGGCAAAAATAGAGAATAACTAATATAATTGTGTAAAGAACCAAGCAAGAAATAAATTTAGAAGTTAACGACACTTCTGTAATTGTAAATATTTGTGCGCAAAAAATGTTTTTAATTAATACCATTACGTTAACTCTAATTATTAATTAATGATTATGATTATTAATTTTAATTCTAGTTTTTAGCAAAAATTTAATAAAAGCAAAAAAGCCTTATTTAAAAACAACATTTTTTAGAACGGCACTTTCCTTTACTTTTCCATTTTAGTCTGTAACTTATTACAAATGTTCTTGTACTCCACGCCTAGCCACTTGTCAATTACTGCGGAATCAAAAGGACTCGAAAGGATGGGTATTAAGGTGATTTGTGTGGACGTACAACTAGAGGGTGCTTGCACAAAATGAACGCTATTTCAAAAAACCAAACTTGGTGATGTGAAAATATATACCCTCGGCTTACAGCTCGCAGACCAACTACAAATAAGAATTTTTCGAAGATGTAAATTATTTTTAAATTTTAAATTTTTTGTTCACAACAGCTTGCAGACCAACTACAAATAAGAATTTTTCGTAGTGTTGTTTGCTCGGTAGAATTGAAGATGTAGTAACAGTTGTAAATAACCGAAACTCGTGTCGTTTAAACCAATAAATTACTCAGCAAAGTATGAATACTTTAAAAAATGATACTAGCGCCTATCGTAGTTAGCACAGGATAACTTACACAAACTCAAACTATCTTTAAGCTTTTAATAGGCTGTAAAAATCGTGTAATTGATCAATCAGATAAATTGTATTATAAACATGAAAATATTGCAGAAATTAAGCATAAACGGAATAAGATAGTCAATTGAATTTGTTTAATTTTTTTTTCATTTTTTTCAATACGTTATAAAATGCGCGATAAAAGTATATATGAAACAAAATATTATAAAACCTTTTTAAACAAATTCGGGGTTACAAAATAAAATAAGGTTACGATACATAAGCAATTTGAAGTGGCAAACAAATTAAAAAAATATATATGAAAAAGTTGTAGTTCCACTGGTAGGGCACAACGATTTATTTTCAAAATTTTGCAGTAAACAGTAACAATAATTATATCAGAGTCTGCGCAGGATTGGGAAAGATTGTAGTCATCAATTTCTTCGCGATTTCAGTGCTAGTTAGTTGCTGAATGAAAAGAAAACATCGCGAAGGATGCAGTGCGCAGGACAAACGGACCACGACGAAAATCCACTTCAACGTAGATCTAAACTTGTAATAACGGAATTGTGGCTGGGCTTGGAGACAGTAGAAAAATGCAGTTGTCTTGGATTTAAGCTTGTCATTGCCGAGGATCCATTGAAATGCAGGGCAAACACAATTAGGCAGTTAAAGTGTGGACTCCAGGGCCAGTTCGTAATCGTCCAGTCACGTTGTTGACTTCTACTGGTATCGCGCCAGCTTAGGCAAGGGCGCGAATGAGGTGGCTATTACTGGTGAACTGATGGATTGTGACCTGAAAAGTTGACGTTTCTGTAGTTACTAATTTTACCATTGAGTCCAAGGTAACACCTACCGCCAGAAAAGGGAGCTTCCGCGCTTAAGCTCACCGCGAACTTGCAAATCGTTCCAACAGTCTACCCAGCTCTTGTAGGCCGGCATAATTGGCGGTTGGCCAGCCATTAGACGTGAGCCACTTACCGCCGAGCAGGTGGACACCACTTGCAGTGGATACAGTAAACTAGATACGGCAAACTGTGTGAATCCGGAATTGTATTGCCTGCCCAACTTGTCTTTGATAACATATTTGTTAAGAATGTAGATCGTGGAGCTGCTGAGCACAAGGCAGGCCAAATCGCAAAGCAGCTTTGGCACCAGACCGGCAAAGAATCCTGCAATTCCCTCAGACTTCCAAATCTCGCCAACAGAGCCCACTATAGAGGTGTACAAGGTCTCGCGGCCGATAAACTGCGCCATCATGCGCAACGAAATTACGTGAAAAGGATGAGAGGCCACGATTCCGCTTACAGTCAGTACAATATCCCGCTTCAGACTCGTCTTGAACTGGACGTACCTGTAAGAAAGCAAATCAAGAGTTGTACGGCGGATATTGGGAACGTGAAAATCAAAGACTTGCAATTCCTCCTCACTGAGCTGAGAGTCGTCCTTAATCTCCTCTGGCTGCTCCAGGCCCAGTTGGTCGGCCACTCGCTCGCTTACCACCATGGCCACCAGAGAACCCACCAGTTTGGGAGCTAGACCGCGGTAGCAGCCGTAGAAGCCGTCGATCCGCCGAATGTGGCCAGCTGCAGGAACAACAAAGAAGATATTAATTCGGTTTCGGCAAAAAAGAACTTTGTACCAACCGTACTGAAATATGTTCGGCAACTTCATGATCGGCTTGCCCAGTAGCGACTTGCCGGGCAGAGGAGCGATCGGCTCGTAACCCAGCTGGATGAGGCTCTTGGAATATTCGAACGGATGTAGGGCGGCGCTGACGCCTAGCCTAAGACCGAAGCGGATCCAGCCATTAACCTCATAGTCCTCTTCGCGGGCGTGCTCGGGAAAGCCGGCCATTCTAGTTACGTGGTGGGTGGGGTGACTGGTTGGTCTGGTGACTGCTGATGCCGAGGGCCGAACTCTGTAGCTTCTAATTTGGAGGACTGCTGTGCAAAAGACAAAAGTTTTAGACCGTTCGCCGTCTCTCACAAAGTTGCAAAGGCTTTGGGGAGATGCAAAATTATACTTTTTCTTATTACAAAACAAAATACTTCTGACAGCAATGTGGCCGGGTGCTCCGTTTTTGCTTAATGCCGAGAACCGATTTTCCAGTCGATTTATCGATAGCTTCCTCTATGGCACAAAAAGAATTCCGCTGCAGCCAGTGTTTTTATTTTGCAAGGAACTGCACACAACATTTGATTTATTGTTGATTTTCAGGTTTTCAACTTGTTGAATCATTCCTAATCCTAATCATTCAGCACATTATTTACTTTCCCACCTCTAGGAGCGTAGATCAACTACCTCCCCACGCCCACCTCTAGCGACATGAATGGTGCTTGTAGCTTGTGGTGCATAACATGCATAGGTATTTGTTGAACATTTCATACATCGGTACGACTTTTCGGTAAGTGCGTCGAATTGTGGGAATGAATTGTTGAAGCAGGACTTCCCTCCCCTACAGTGGTATTCAGAAGACGGTGAACAAGTTAGAGCAATCGCGTCTGGACACAAACTCCGTACAAGGCTGTTTGGAGCTGGCGCTGCAGGTTTTTCACCCAACAAACGAAATACAGACCGTGCTTTCCAGTCGGTAGGTGCAAGACCATATATGCATGTAGATTATCTGTAGACTCTATAGTCTCCCTTAACTTTCAGAACAGATGCCGGCGTACACGCCCTGCACTCCACCGTGCAGGTGGACCTGGAGCGTCCTAATGGACAGCCATATGATACAACCACTTTAACCGGAGTGCTCAACCGAACCCTTAACAAACAGCGTCTTCCCATCCGAGTGCTCAGTAGTCAGTTGGTGGACAACTCCTTCCATTGCCGCTACGACGCTATTGGACGGACATACCTCTACCGCTTTGCCGTCGCAAAGGATTCGTCCTTGGGAGACTGTAATCTCCGTAATAAGGCGTACGAGACATTCATACCAGTGGAAGAAATCGATCGATGTTACTTTCTGCAGTAAGGAACTCCAATAACCATCATAGAATGTTTTTAACTGCTTCTTCCACTACAGATCTTCTAGCTTTGATATTAATAGAGTCAAGGCTGCAGCGCGAATGTTTATCGGCGTCCACGACTTTCGCACTTTCATGAGTGTCAGCCGACAGAAAGTTAGTCGGGATCACCCAATGTTCACAGTGCGTAAAATCGACGAGATTAATATACGTCCAGGTGAAACGCGGGCCCTGTCCTCGAGCGCCATTCTGGCCGCTGAAACATACAACTATTGGGACATCGAGATCAAGGCTAAGTCGTTTCTTTACAAACAAGTAAGGCGCATTGTCGGCGCGCTAATCGCTTTGGGTAACGGACGCATCGACGAGCGGTGCCTGTATCAGATGCTCACCGTTCCCTCGAAGAATTCTTGGGATTCCCGTATTCTCCTTGCTCCCGCCTGTGGACTCTATCTGTGCAGGGTACACTACCGAGAAACGGACATTTAAGACCGCAATGATACTGCTGTATGAGCTGCAAAGGCGAATGGCCAACCTGAGACCCACCGCCACGGTTGTGACCACCCCCACCGGTGCGCGCTACATTGAGCGAAGGAATTCCTCCGACTGTATGGAGGGCGTTGCCCAATGCTCCCAGCAACTGGATCCTCGTGAATACGGTTTTGTCGTGGATACCAAGCCGGACTCTGTGCCCGCCTGCATTCTGAGCGACTTTCTCTACCTAGGCTCGCAGGATGCAGTTAGCGTGGCCAACATCATAAAGTATAAGTTAACTCACATCCTGAGTCTCGGCATTCAGACGCCCGAGTTGGACAGTCCCTTGCCAGTAAAATGTAAATTTTTGCCCTGTCTGGATCTGCCGGAAACCGACCTGATGGACTACGTCTTGCCAGTGTCAATGGAGTTCATCGAAGATGCGCACAGGTCGCAGGGTTGTGTGCTCGTCCACTGCAATGCAGGCGTTTCGCGATCACCCTCCGTGGTTATCGGCTATCTAATGAAGCGCCGTGACATGTGCTACGAAGACGCATACAATCTGGTAAAATCATGGAGACCATGTATTCAGCCGAATGCGGGATTCATACGGCAGTTAAAGAGGTTTGATTAAAAATAAATAGGCTAGTAACTATGATGGTTGTCGTGTTCGTGCTTGTGTTTTTTATGTGCTAATCCATATTAGTTATATAACACAACCATATTATCCACAAAACACTCAAGTCTTAAACATAACAAAAATTTAATCTCTATTTGGTTAGTTGACACAAATTTGGTACGGATGTTCAAAATACGTTACATGAGATACTTGCATGAAGCCTACCGCTTGTTCTCTGCTTTAAACAAGGGTTCCGAGGTGTTGAATGTCCCTTTCTGAAGCAGGCGATATTACTTGCCTAGAAGCAAATTCTTTCCTTTGGACACTGGTTGAGGTAGTAGGATCTGGGGATCTTAGAACTTCGAACATTTGCTTGGATATTCCCTTGTCCGGTATTAGTCGATCCGATAAGTTCTTGTCATTTAGAGGTTGTTGCGTCAATCTTGGGTTGGGATGATCTGCCACAAAGAGTTTCTTAACAACGTGCAGCCAATTCCCAGGGGGTTGGGGATCATCTGAATGTGACGAGGAAGATTGGCTTAGCTGAGCCTTTGCAACTGCCTTGCTTGCAATGGCAATAGCACCTTCTTGGACGCCACCAGATACCGTAGTCTCAAATTCACGACTTAAACATTCAAGCACAGCAAGTTTGGCTTTAAGCTGTTCATTGGCCGTGAAAAGTTTTCGTTCCACATGGTGGATATCCGCCACCTGAGCAGCCAATTCTGTATCGAGTCTTTCGATTTGTAGTAGCACCTCGCTCTTCGTTTGGTACGCCCGTTTCACCTGGTGTCTACGTACCTTGGAGTGCAGGCTGAGCAGAAGTTCCTCTTCACATTGCAGTTGTTTGTTTACCGCGTGAATTTTTTCTAGCCAGTAAACTCGGATCTCGTCCTGGCCAGTGTCACTATTTAACGCCGTTCGGAAGGCCCTAGATAGATCCCTATTTTGATCCATAACTGACATTGCCTCAAAGTTTGGATCTTCGGGTATCTCCTGTGGCTTCTCTTTAAAGTATTCAATGTCCTGGTTCTTTTCCTGGGGCTCATCCAAGTCCTTTAAGTATGTCTCTAGAAGGTAGTTCTTACCCAGCTCTCGCTCCCTCACCCGGTGCTTTTCCTCCTCGATTTTAAGAATCTGTCGATCCTTTTCACTACAGAAAAGAGTCAATGAAACTCGGAGATACTCGGAGAGATAACGCCATAACTTACTGTAACATAGTCATTTGCTGGAGTATGGTTTCATCTTGGGCCAGGATAATGGTAAGTAGACTCTCGTTCGGAGTTAAGTGGTCGTTCCTCTGCTGCAGCTTCCGGCTTCTCTTCGACTGCTTAGTGTTGATATTGTCCGTGGTGTTAGTGGAGGGCAGCACCTTGTGCTTGCCCCTCCGCCGGAAACGCATACTCCGCGAACTGTCTACTGGACTGCCCATTCCACTGTCCTTATCGGTCGTCGGGATTTGTTTTCGATTTGAAGTGGCCAAATGACGAAGCTGGAGCTGGTACTGTGTAAAATAGAATTATTGAAATTGGTGAGAAACGTCTTTCTCGGGGAATCGCTTACTTCCTCTTTCGGCATAGCGTGGAGGCTGGTAATAACATCAATGAGCCTGGCACTGCTGTCCAAGTACTCCTCGTAGTGACGCTGCTTATGTACAATGGCAAACTGCTGTGGAGCGAGTACTTCTTCCTTGCTGAGCACATGTTGCTGGGCAGTTTGGTAGCTGATTAATGCGCAGATTAGATCTGCGCAGGTGGTGCTTGAGTCCACGCCGGATATACAGTGCTCCTCGCCGTCGACCCAAATGGAAAAGCTATCCGAAGGAGAGGAAAGCAACCCCATGGCTGCGTCCCCTGGCGCTGCTAAGCTCTGGATCCCGAAGCCATTAGTGGTCATAGTGTCAGCTGGCGTTCTGTTGAAGCAGCACAATGAAAGGGGTTAGCCAAAAGAGTACCTTGGATATGCTAATACAGATATTGTATAGAAAGCGTTGCGAACAAAACATTCGGTGTAATTTATGCAACTTAACCGTTTGTAAGCGGAGCAGACAATTAGTTAACAGTTCTTCTTAAGAATCAGGTGTTCTCTGCGGCTTCGACCATTCACAACGTGTCAAGATCGGGCATTAGCTGGTTATGAAAATCCGTGGTAACTTGACTTGTGTATTTTGCTTCGATAGGATCGGTGATGAACTAGAACCAGCCTTCCCCATGTAAACACTGGATGACTCATGGGGCGGTGTTATGAGTGCCTTATTGTTACAGTTTCAACTTTCTCGAGTTACACTGGCCCGACCGAAGACAGTTTTAAGTTTTCGTTGCGAGCCGTGCCTTACCAGCGCGCTCGCTATCATCGCCACAACTGAGACAGTGCACCAAGTCGGACATAGCAGCAGCTCCATTTAAGGGAGAGCGAGCCAGAGAGGTGAAACAAGGCAAGAGCAACGAAAACAGTGGCCCAAACGCTCAGCTTGTGAGGCAAGAGGAAGCTCTGCACACCTTCGATATCTCGGAGATACACCTCTTGTGTTTCTCTTTGAGACTATCTTTACGGTATCGTTGGTAAGTTTATGGAGTGGAGCGGCCACTCCCCCTCCGTGATTGATGCTACACCGAGATATTCTCTGCCTCTAGGCTTGGCTTTCGCTATTATTATAAAAGATGGAGATAGGCTTACTATAGTTCCTACAGAGCCGAACCTTTAGAAAAGCGATAAACCGAGCTGAGATTCGGAGATCGGTTCGGTGGTGCGCGGAGCAGCTTTGAAACCACACTGACTCCGACTGAAGTATACTTAATTGTTGACTCCACGAAACTCCGAGTCCAAGCGATTATCATTTTGCACCAAACTAGTATAGACGTATCCATTCGAAACAAACTCATTTTCAGATACTCTACGGCCTAGACAACAAATAAGAAATCTTTGGAGCCTCGTTTACATCTGTCTTTGTGGTATTGGGTCATTATAAGACAATAATTCTCAGCAATAAAGCCGAGAAACATTGAAATGGAAAACTCTAGCCATTACCACTAAATGTCACTAACGTAGTTGGGAGAAATCTGAAAAAAAAGCGGGCAACTTAATAACGGCAGTGATTTGTTTTCTCCTATAACCAGCATAGTCTTTAAAGCGATTAGTTCCTAAGTTAATATACATATACTTTTTCTAATATTAATGTTTCTCTCATTGAATACTTTGTCGATCCCCAATTGGCGAAGACAAAGCTATTACATACAGATTACTTTAAATAAGGGTTACAAGTACAGATCTACCACAGGACTGATTTTGACTTATTTTTAGGGTATAGCCTGGCACCTGGCCAAGCCATTTACCGATTCGGTTTTCGCAGCCAGTGATAGTTTACTTGGCTTTTGGCCTTTCATTTTCATGAGCTACAGTTGAGGTTCCTCGATTTGGATACCTTAAAACAACACATAACCGGTATGAAATGCATGCATAATGCATAAATGTGTGCCACTAAATGCATTTTAGTCTGCACACGATTTGTTGACTGTGGATACATACCTTTGGAATACGGGCTTGGTGTTTGAAATACAGATTTATAAGTAAGGCTTTTTTAGGTGCGACCGAGTAACACAAGATACACCTGCAGCGCTAACGAGGGGCGACTCCGCGAGCACTGCCAAATTTGATTAGCAAATTGCTCTGTAATCCATTCGGTTCGAACAGCTCAGACAGATCGGCGGGTTAACCGCTAAGGTGACAATTTACTGAATGTGGAAATGTTCTAAGGGTTCGTCGTATCGGGTTCTCATTGGCTTGGTTTGGTCTTTTGTTGTCAGTTGGGCCGTTCCGGCTTAATCCGGTTGAATGTATACAAGAAGAATCCACTAAGCGTATCCTGTAAGCACGCTGGAAAGGAAAACTCAGCCATGTATTGTATGAATGCAAAACGTAGTAAAAACAAAAGCGCGCTACTTACTGGGATATTACGACATCAGCTGGCTACGGCTGGGTCTCTCTCAACCGATCGGTCGCAAAAACACGCTCAAAACAAGTTGTTAAGCCGACTTCTCAGCCGCAAACTGATGCATGACGATGACGACGACGACGACGACGACGACGACGACGACTATGACTATGATCAGTTGCCAAACAAACGCTAGAGAGCGTGGTCGAGATCAAGCCAAACGAATCGCGCTCAGAGCCAGAACGGGTTGAATCGGATCGGTTCGGACTGGATTGGTGTTCCGATCTGGCCAAAAAAACACCTTTGTGTGTACAGGTATTTGAAAAGCGATCATTAATTCAAGTGCGCCCACCACAGTCATCTAGAGAAAACAATTGCTTTGTTGCGGATAAACACAAAAATTTGAACAATTTGAATGTGGTCCATCCAATGGCACTGGACCGGTGGGAATCCGCTTTCCACTAGGAAATTACGTCAATTTCCTCTTCGGTTTCTGTTTCCCAATCAGCAATCCTCAACATTGTCACCAGTGCACCAAACAGGCTTGCCGACTATGGCAGTTGTAGCTTACGTTTTTGGCAAAGATGTACTTACTGGAGTCTGGAGTCTGGCCCAGCGTTGGGGGCGCAGGCGTGACACGGCCGACATGCTTCATGCGCCGACCTTGCAGTAGATGCTTAAATGTTCGGGCCTTTCGTGCTGCATAGTTGTGCACGCAGCCATCTCTTGGCCATATCAAACTGGTTTTGCTTCCTTTGCCCGCCTAGATGCTACCCACATAAATATGCAAACAAACGCCGTATGTACATATGTATGTATGTTAGGCCAGTCCGTAGTACATGGTCTCAGACTGGCTGGCTAGCTATGACGGATAAGTTGTCATTAACCAAACCGAATTGACGCGAGCGGAGCGGGCTGAAAATTTGGCAACCCTGTTCTTATGAATTTCGTTGGTTTCTCCTTAGGCATACGGATGAAATCGGGAACAAAACAGAGCCACGATGCCGCGCAAGCTGCTTAAATTCCTTATCATCTTCGACAACACTTCTCTCCTGTACTTCCCGGGCCAGTTCCTCTCCGGACGGGTTCTAATCGAGTTGCAGGACGAGACCCCCGCTTTAGGACTTCATTTTCATGTGGTAGGCGAAGGCGTGGTGCGCAACGGGCGGCGACAGGAGCGGACATACGACAAGGAGAACTATATTGACTTCCGGATGCGGCTTCTGGGGGACGTAGACCAAGGAGGTCCGGCCATACTCTCGCCGGGAATCCACAGCTTCCCCTTTAAGCTCGGCTTGCCACTAGGCCTGCCCTCTACATTTCTCGGTCGGTATGGCTGGATTCAGTTCTACTGCAAGGCGGCGCTCCGCGAGAACAATGGCATAATCCACAAGAACCACCAGGTCTTCATTGTGATGAATCCCATCGATTTAAACCTTGAGAAGCCAATCTTAGCAGTAAGTTGTGTTACCAATCCGGTTGATAAAATACTCACATTTCGTCTGACTTAGCAACCGTTCACCTGCGAAGTGGAGCACAAGCTTGGCGTCGTCTGCGTTGGTGGAGGCCAGATTAAGTGCAGAGTGTCCCTCGATCGCGGTGGGTATGTGCCCGGCGAGAATATCCTGGTCACCGCATTCATATCCAACTACAGCAATGTGTCCATTAAACGGACTAAGGCATCGCTAACTGAGGTCGGTGGTCCCACTTTTAAGTGGCTAGTTACAGTTCATTAATCTTGATCTTTGGATCTTTTGGATATCTTTAGACCATCGAGTATTTGGCGCGGGGGAAGGTGGTGCAAACGGAAAAGAGGGAGCTGGCTGTCTTAGTTCGCGGCAAGATCCGTCCGGGTGCAAAAGACGAGTGGCACAACGAGCTTTACGTTCCGCCCCTGCCGCCGACCAATTTGCATGGCTGTCACCTGATCAAGATATCCTACGACGTATTCTTCGTGATCGAACCCAAGTCCATGGAGAAGGAGATTAAGCTGCAGCTTCCAATCGTGCTAGCGACGTACCCCTTCCGACACTCCGGTGATGCGGTTAATGCCAACACCTGGCCGGAATCGGTGCTAAAGCCAGACACGCACACTCACTATCCGTCCACCCTGCCCATATTCCGGCCCTGGCTGCACGAGAAGCCCAGCGAGGCATAGCCGCGGCTATTAGGATTGCCGTGTATCACAATTTGTTAAGACCGACTTGCGCCATACAACAATTTAAACTTATTTAACTTATACTTACTTTTTCCAATGTATTTGGTCTTTGCAACTGCGGCTTTTTCGTTTCCAAAAATTGTTTCATGATTAAACAATATCATTAATTATTTAAGTTTTGTAAAACAAATAAAAACGAAAATTAACATAAAGAATATACAATTATAAATTGTAATTAGCTCATATATGTAACTTTATAAAGCCAAACTAATGTGGGTTAGTTATTATCAACTTGGTAACACCGCACTTATTAATCTTCTTACTGCTGTTCATGTTAGAAGGTTATTATCTTTAGATATTTGCGCTAAAGTTACTTCTTAAATAGTTAGATTGTGAAAAAATGTTAATCTACCGCCAATACAATAACATAACTAAAAATTGAATAATACTTTTATGAAACTAGGTTACCAACACTGGGCCTCGTACTACTCAACCAACTTTGCGTGGAAAAATCCTCAGAAATCTACATCTATAAGAACTTTAAAATACTTAGAGATCATATTTATTATGGTATGAGGGTTCATTTAGAATATGCCAATTTTTTTTTTGTAATCTTTCCCAAAGTATGTATTAGATTGCTTGAAAACACCACAGCCTAAAGTATGCTATACAAATAAAATCTTGAAAGCTGGCGTGTGAAGTATTGAGGCCAAACATAAAAAGGGCCACACTGCGCATCAAGATGAAAACAATTTCTATAGTTATCTTTATTTGGTTAAATGTATTCCATGACGTATTCAGCGACTGTGGCTGCCAAAAACTCAATCGGAAGTCCCCGGATATGCCGACGATTTCAGGACAAGTGTGCCAGCAACGAGCACAGAGTGCTCACAGCCACTACCGGGATTACTATGGCGAACTGGAGCCAAAGATTGCTGACATGTCGCTCATTCCGGGAGGCACGGTTTACGTGGGCACCGACAAAGCGCACTTTCCGGCCGACCGGGAGGCTCCGGAACGGCAGGTCAAGCTGAATGACTTCTATATCGACAAGTATGAGGTCTCCAACGACGCCTTTGCAAAGTTTGTTCTGCACACCAACTACACCACGGAGGCCGAGCGATTTGGCGACAGTTTTCTGTTCAAGACCCTTTTGAGCCCATCGGAACAGAAGGACCTAGAAGACTTTCGAGTGGCGAGCGCCGTCTGGTGGTATAAAGTGGCCGGCGTGAATTGGCGACATCCCAATGGAGTGGGCAGCAATTTAGACAACCTGGGCCGACACCCGGTAGTGCACGTCTCGTGGCGCGACGCTGTGGAGTACTGTAAGTGGGCCGGCAAGCGTTTACCTAGCGAGGCGGAGTGGGAGACAGCTTGCAGGGGCGGCAGGGACCGCAAACTGTTTCCCTGGGGCAACAAGCTGATGCCAAGGAACGAGCATTGGCTGAACATTTGGCAGGGAGACTTTCCCGATGGCAACCTGGCTGAAGATGGTTTTGAGTACACAAGCCCGGTGGATGCATTCCGACAGAACGTGTACGACCTGCACAACATTGTTGGCAACGTCTGGGAGTGGACGGCAGATCTGTGGGACGTAAATGATGTTAGCGATAACCCGAATCGGGTAAAAAAGGGCGGTTCTTATCTGTGCCACAAGTCCTACTGCTACAGGTACAGGTGCGCGGCCCGCTCGCAGAACACAGAAGACAGCTCGGCCGGCAACCTGGGTTTCCGGTGCGCCAAGAATGCGTGAGTTGCGATCGTGGGCAATTCCAGCTTTTTGTTTTTTTTTATAATATATGTATATGTTATGAACAAGAACTTAACCGATGTTTCATTCATATTTTTTATAAATGTTTATAAATATTTGGTATATTTCTTATCGTATGAAATAAGTGTGGGAATATTAAAGGTGTAAAAATACAAAGCCTTTCTATCCGCATGCACGTCTTGCACCTCCAAAGTCTGTGGTAAACTCGGGCGAAAGAGAAATGCTAATGTAATGTAAATGTAAAAACATAACAAGGAAACCTTTTTTACATCGCTAACTTCCTTTGCTAGTTTTAAGCTTCTAGTAATTTTAAACGAAAGTTTGTATGTGTGCAATGAATTCGAAGCTAAACACATCTTATCTTACACAAGATATTTCTTTTCCGGAAAACTAACCGTATTCTTTGTATATAAAAAGAAAAATTCTAATGTGGAGGCACCAAAACGGTATTCAAGGATTACCCTTGCGCGATTTAATATTAAAGCTCCCGCTGCTTAATTTTTTGTTGAGATCTTTGAGACAATTCAGGTCGCCGGGCGTGATACAGAAGACGCAATATCTCGGGGGAGATTTGGCGCAGCAAAAGTGAAATTTGTATGATGCACCGCCCACGCAATATGGAATAGGCCGCCATGGCGGAGGAACCACAAAATGCATGAAAGCGTATGGCGGGAGGAATAGGGAATGCAACGAAATGTCAAAAGCTATTGTGTGAAGAAAAGCGGTGAATGAGCTATCGATAACTTTCGATACATAACAAGCCATCGATGGCGGAGTATTTAAAGTTGCAGACATTGTCTTGTATAAGATTGCTTTGAAAATAAATAGTACACTTTGTTGAACAAATGTCCCAAGGAAAAACTAACTTATGTATATCCATTTACTGGCAATCACTTATGAATTTTATGTAGTTCAAATGTTGTCGCCCGGGTATACGAAATGTAATCAAACTGCTGCTACAGATTTCAATACTTTAAGGTTTACAGTTATTTTATTCGAAGTCTTTAGTTTATTGTTCATATTACATACTGATTTCTTGGTAGTTTACGATTTATGTGTGTATGCTTGTATATCGCTGACTGTAGTTGCCGTGGCGCAATTCAAAATGTTTAGAGTAAATCTTTTAGATTCTGACTATGCAAGTACAATAATGCGTGCTTAACCTATGCAGATGGTTATGTGGTGGTACGGCTAAGTTTATGTTCTACAGTATACAAAACTATGCTGAAATGCTTCACTGATACAACATTGCTAGTGGACATGGCGGGGAAATACGCTAATTTACATTATTATGGGCCTGGGGATCTTACTATGTACAGTATCGGAACTTAGGCTAGCCTAAACCTGGGTTCTGGCAGGGATGGCGCGATTGTGGCTATGGTGCTGTGCATTTTCAGATGTTTTCCTCAAAATATCACAATGCAAAATATAAGCGGCAATTGGTGCTCGTTTGCTGAGGTCAGGATATGCCGATGTCAGATACACATGCATATGCTACATCTACCAAAGCGCGGATGATGCTGGAAGACCTGGCTACACGCCTCTCAGCTAATACTGGTTGGCAGAAATCCATTCATGCTCCCACTCCCGCCGCCGTCGACAGATGAACTGCCTGCAGCATGACTGCCTTGAGTTCCCGGGCCAGGTTGTTGATGTGCACCACCGAATCGACCATCTCCTGGACTGCACTACCGCTGGGGAAGTGGGCTGCCGCCTTCTTCGACTTCAAGACGCAGGTTTTAAGGGCTTCGGAGAGGGCGTTGGTGCAGCGCAGAATTTTCTCCCGCAGCGCCTCCTTGGAAATGTTTCGATAAACGTTGTCGCCTATGGTCACCAGGTTGTGAGCGCTAACTACCACAAACTTTCCATATGCAATGAAGAACTTGGGCGGCTGGTTCTTCTCCACTGTCTCCAGGAAGGAATCAATGGCCTGCATCAAGTTGCCCATGTGAGTAGAGATCTGTTGGGCGTAGTAGCGCACTAGCTTCTTGTCCTTGTCGGTCATCTCTGGCGACTTGCAGGGCGTCGTAGGTGTCGTGCGTGCCGTGGGCGTGCTTGGAATCGATCCAGAAGCAGCGCCCATGGCCGAACTCTCAGCAGTCCGAATAACCGTATCGAACTGCGTCTTCAGGTCGGCGGAAATAGCTTCACGCAAAGCCTCGTTTTTTCTGGCAGCTGCATCCTTGGACTCGAAGGCCACGTAGTCGTAATCCTCCAACCATTCTGCGCTTCCCCGACTGCCCTCAAATGCCCCAGTTCCTGATCCTCCGTTATGACCCGCGGTCAGCTGCCGCTTAAAAAGAAGCGAGGCGTTGCCCTGGATGAAACTGGTGGTGGAGCGCACGTCCTCTGTGAGCGTCTGGGCACAAACCATCAGTTGGTCCAGTGCGTCCGGTGGTCGGCAGCCGTGCTTCTCGTCACTTCTGGCCAGTTGATCTACGGACCAGGCGCCTTGGGCATCGAGGGATTCGGAAGAGTCGTGAATCAGCTTGTTGGCATCCCGTAAAGCTCGCACCAAGGGCCGCAGCTTGAGGGCCAAGTTTCGGTCCTCCGAACGCGTAGCGTTTCCAAGGGCTCCCTCCCCGAACTCTGCCAGGTCGTGGAGTGTGGTGCGCAGACGCAGGGCTGCCAACTTCAGCTCCATTATGGCCGGCTCGAGTTGAGCTCGGGTGCGCCAGTTGGGCACTACGAAACTCAGCAATCGGTTGATCGCGGCAGTAGTCTGCGATTGCAGCTTTGCGAGTGTTTCTAGTGCGGAGGAGAGCTCTAGAGGCAGTTCTTTGGTAGTGGTGACAGTGGCAGGTGTGGACAGCACCCGCTGGTCCAGCTCCTGCAACGGAGGCAGCGGAAAGTCGTAAGTTAGCCCACTTTGTTGACGGCGCACAGGAAGCGGATTTCGGCGAGGGATGTCGTAGTCCGGCATGTTGGCTAGCGAGGAACGGTTCGACCCGGATAAGCTCAGGGAGAGGCTGTCGCTGGTCAGCAGTGAGGAGGCGGAGCTGCTTGGCGTCATCTGTGACATTTGCAGCTGGAGATGGCTGCTGCCTAAAATCAGGGGTCGCGGCACATCGTAGGACTCCTCCGCGATGGTGGCGGCCACGCTCTTGAGTGTCTCGAACCGGGCGCCTAGACTAGAGCTGGAGGTCGTTGTGGAGCTAGAAGCCTTCGGAAGACTGCTTCTGGGACTGTCGTAGTTCAGTGGCACGGGCGTGGCCGGCTTGGGTATGTCATACGTTTCGAACTCGCTGCCACTTCCGTTCTGGCGGGGACTGGTCATCATTGCAAAGTTCTGGTAGATGCTTTGGTTGCAATAGATCTGCTGCTGCGGCGTGCTGGGCGCGGCTCTTGATCCAGATCCTGTCGCTGATCCAGGCGGGTAATTGTAGATGTAGACATCACCGTGTCTCTGCGGCGTGATTACCTGCGGGTGAAGTGTATTAGTTTAATGCTGTTTAACTGCCTTTGGGTGTTTCAATTTAACTTTACGACTAGAACTACACCCCCACAAACCCCACACTGCCTGCAGCTAAGAGCCTTATCGATTTTCCCGTACTCTACATATAAAAAGTACTGAAGGAGTCGTAGAACAAAGAATACATCCGGGTGTGGTTGCGCATTCCACTCACCTCTTGTGGGCCTCTCCTCCCGCTCTTCTGATTATTACATCTTGCTTAAATGTACAATTATCAAAAATGTGCTATACAATTAAAAATTC